ATAGCAGAGTGCCAGAGTGCTATGAATGGTTTTAGTAATGAAGTTGTGGACAGAATGAAGAAATTAAGTGATGCCCATTTATTTTGGGAATGTCCAGAGGCACAAAAGACCATGGTTTTAGTAATGAAGTTGTGATGTTTGTGCAATATATATATATATATATATATATATATATATATATATATATATATATATATATATATATATATATATATATATATATATATATATATATATATATAACTGAAACCTAATTTTAGACAAACGAAAAACGGAAAGTGTAAAATTAAATGTGAAAAAAAAGATATTTTTGACCATTTAAAAAATATACATTTTCTCTTCCTTCCAAATCGAGTTAGTTTTTTGTCTTTATAGAAATCACCGTAAATATGACTAAAACATTGAAAAAAGTACAAAAATAGGAGTTTCATGTTTTTATTTCTGAAATAAGACTCCACATTGTGGTAATGTGGTTGTAATGCGACATTGTACATGCGCACATTACTATACTTTTTGATAATGTATATGACCATGTTTGGTAATGTTAAAATATTTTAACTCCTACTTCGAAAATAAAAAACATGAAAGTTCTATTTTTGGTATATTTACAATGTCTTACTCTTAGTTTGGTCTTTTTTTCCTTCTCTTTATTCTATTTTGTTAATCGTAGGTTTAAATAATACATTTACGTTATCTCTTTTTTTACGAATGTTTGGTATAACTTTTAATTATATAAATTAAGTTAAAATTTTAATATTATCTAAATTAGTTGAATTGAAAATGAATTCAAGAAGGTTTCATTGTTGGTAAGACTGTAACGAGACTATAGTTATGAGAGAGTACATTAATACTATATCAACAAAATTTCAATTTTTTTGTTTCCTGGAGTGTAAAAAAATGGGGAAAAAATTTACCATATGAAGTTGAAATTATACATAAATTAACTAGGGCTATGCTGCATGTGTGCACACTCACACTTTCAAGTCTGCAACCGTGTGTTTGAGGCTTTGAGCAGAGTACTTTTAAAATAGAAACTCTTGGGTGAGAAATACGATGTGGTACAAAAGGCGCAATAAACTAGTGGAAAGAAATCACCCTATGTAGCATTCTAAGGCCCCGTTCTGTTCAACTTATTTTTTCTTATTTTTTCTTATTCTTATTAAAATCAGATCAGATCAGACCAGATCAGATCAGATCAAATCGAATCAGATCAGATCCAATCAGATCAGATCAGGACTTATTAAAATAAGATCTCTTCAAGAATTATTATTATTATTATTATTATTATGATCATCATCATCGTCGTCGTCATTATTATTATTATTATTATTATTCTTAAAAATGAAAAAGAATAAACTTTAGAAATAGGTTAAAAAAAAAGCTAAGAAAGTAATCCTTAATTATTAGACGTCGGAAAAATTAGTTTTAAAATACATTGACAATGTCAATCTAATTCTACTTTTAAAATATATTTTTATTGCTACTTGTAATTTGAGTTTCTAAACTTTTGATCTTTTATAAGGATGAGATATTTTAATAAAAATACTATCTCTTCTATATATTGATTATCTAAATTTAATTACTTTTAAATGTATATCTAAATTAAATATTTATTCTAATGTATAATTCTAATTTTACAAAAAAATTATCATAAAATAAAAAATATTATTACATTATAATATGAATGATTATTCTAATATATGAATTATCTATTTTTATTTTATTAAAAAATAATCATTAAATAAAAAATATTGATTATATTATAATA